CGCAGGTGGTCTGGGGTTCGAGCCCCGGCCATCGACGCATTCCTTTACCTCACTAGGCCAGTAATTAGACTGATAAAGAGGGAAGATAGGGGGGCATGAGGCTGGCAACCACATCCCGTAAAAAATAAACACCACTACTACCAAAACTTCAAGCCTCTAGCTTGGAGTCCCATGCTCCACTGAGAAAGTTAAGGAATAAGATATATAAGATATAAGAGAAGTTGACGACGCATTATAAATTACACAGTTCGATTATGGATTGGTATCAGTTAGAGAACCACTGGACAGCCAGGTGTTACGTCATAGCCTTGCGACTCATCGGCGGTACACACACACACACAGAGCGGGGTTCGAACCCAGGACCTTCCGGTTACAAGTCAAGCTCGGTAGGTGCGTACCGCCGATGAGTCCAAAACTGGGATGAAACACCCATCAGATCTTTACAAACAAATTCTTGGAAATTTAACAGTGTTATATGTTGGAAGAAATTGAAGACAAAACATTTGACATAACTGGTAAGATTTAATGAAATGAAGAGTCCCATGTAGGATAAAACGCCAGTGAAGTGTTTCTTGATTTTCTATGACTACCTCTAATTGATGTCGGTTCATGATAAAATATACATTCAGATCAATCAAATCCCCAACTAATCTCATTAGTGGCTACAGGATAGATGTCCTGTTGTAGTTATGGTGAGAATTCATGGATACTGGGGTCTATCGTGCCAGGAGGAAGAATTTGCTCAGTAATGGCATTGGTTAGTGTGGAGTTATAATCCGAAATGACAGAAGTTAAGCTTCCCAGATTATGGAATTCTGACCAAGTGGCACTGCTTGTAACCTGAAGTTCTTGAATTTGATCTCTGATGGAGTCAGTGATGAAGAGTCCCTAACTGCTTCGAGACAAATGTTCAGCGCTCCTTGATCTTCAATGATCCTCTAGTTAATGTCGGTCCGTATGAGGAGGTGTACGCTGAAATTAATCCCGAAATCTTAAAAGGTGTATTACACTATGTTCTTTCTATTTAAATGATAATGAGTTATTTTAGAGATAAGTGATGAAATCCAAAATCCGGTAAATTTTGAATTTTAAATGATCATATTGTTCTTTCAATGGATTCTTCTAGAACCACGCATCTTGGTTGTAAAGTCTTCAAAAAAGTGACATATTGGCCATCTGTTGGCTTGATGCACTTCCATCTAAGTCATGTGAGCATCAACACGATGGCATACCCTTGAAACTTTCACTTTATCTATCTATCTGAAGCCTTCCTCAAAACTGAAACGTTTTCCACCACTTATCAATCTACGCCTTCTCGTCTATTTTTATAAATTTTGGTTAAAAATGGTGGGAAATTCAGTTATATGCATAATAATGACAAAATTTTGACGCCATAAATCTATCAGACCTTTAGCTAAACGAGGGCACCGATTGCTGAGAACCAGTCAGTTACAGTTAGTCCGTGAAACCAGTTAAACAACAATTTGTTCCATAAAAAAGTGCCCAGAGATGTGTACTAATCCTATATGGTATACGTGTTCTTTACAACGTCTATTTTCTGAAGGGAGTGCTTATATTCATTCAAATGGCTATAACTTATTGTCAGAAGCTGGAATTAGGCTTACATAAGGGTTATGCTAGGGAAAGCTTTATTCCTAACAGGCTACTGCCTTCTTGTTGGTCAGGAAGAACAAGCACCAAGGGACTGCGGCAGAAAACTAACCAAGAACATTTTACCTAACAAATATGAGGAAGGAAGTGGGAATGAATTGAACACATGCTAAGGGGAAATTCAAGTGACATTACACACTATGTCCTTGAATAGATCCGGAATGATAAGAGGCTAATTTGGCGTCGGAGGGTGAAATGAAGGAGATTACATGGAGAGAAAATGAAAGCCTGTAGCAGTTGTGGAACCAGTTAAAAAGGTGTGACAGAATGGAATGTCACGGAGATGTTTAGTTAAAGTCTTTCGTTTAACTTAGAACGCAATGATAATAACAAAAATAGGAAGAAATTTAGAACAGGTTAGTATTAAATACTGGTTAGTTTGGGGTCAGCTTAGTAATACATAAGAGATACGAGGTGAAATACAGAACATTATGGCAGAAAATATACTGCAAATAACAGGTACTAGACATGATCATATCTCAGAGAGATGAGAACTGGCGGACTGGATTATGTGTCAGAATGTGGTGAGAAAGAGAAGGCAGAAATACTCTGGACCACCGATAAGAAAACTCCAGAAGATCTGGATTTTGCTGATGATATATATCTACTGTCACACAAACTCTAAGAATTGTAGGCGAAAACCATCAAACTGGCTGAAGAGGTGAGGCAGGCAGTGAAGACGGGACTTCAGGTGAACATAGAGAAGATGGAGGTGATGAAGATAATCAACGAACAGCAACAATAACAACAATCAGCACCAATCACCATCAGCGGGAGGAATTTGACAGAGGTTACCTCCTTCCTCCGCCTATCTAGGAAGCATCGTTTCAACCACAGGCAGTCGGGACGAATGAAGATGTCAGAGCCAGCCAGCCAGAATCGGAAAGACAAGGTACACCTTCATCAATCTGAAATCAGTTTGAGAATCCACCGCACTCAGTTTAAAGAAAAAATTTCGGATTTTGAGCATCAATGTCAAGTTAGTCATTTCTTCTTCCACATAAGTCAGAAACTTGTCATGTCACCTAAAGAATTTCCAACGGGTTGCAGGCTTTTATCATCAGCTGCCCTCTTTGCTCAATATATTCAAGATCGAATGGCCGTCCAGGAAGGATTAGTACCGAGAAGCTGTGGGAACAAATCAACTAAAAACCTATAGCTCAACGAATATGTAGAAGAAAGTGGAGATGAATTGAGCACATACTACTGAGAAGACTGTCGAGTGACACTGCACGCTCGAGTGAAACCCGATTAGGAAACGGTGAGGGGGTCGTCGGTGCGAGAGTCGCTTGGAAAGATCATGCGAGGAAGAGATGAGAGACTATGGGGAATCATTGGGTCAACTAGGGAGGATTGCAGGGAATTAGACAAAGTTGAGATGTGCTTTTGAAGCTATATATTCTACTCGAGGCCCAAGGGGACAACAATATAATAATAATACATTACAGCATGTTATATTTCTCTAAATCCTGAATAGCAGTCATTATTACTAATCAGTTCCTATTTTCTCACACAAATTTGCCTTTTTTCAACACAATTATTCCATTCGGGACCGTCGGTGTACTCTTTTTTTTGGTGGGGTCTTGAGGTTTAATATCACCTACATTTGAAAGAGTCATGGGATAACTCATTAAGTATGCTTAAGTTTTCTCACAGAAATTTCTCGTCTTCGAACTAACCAAAACAGACCCACACAAAAGTTTTAGTCTTTCCTTCTTACTATTCCACAAAATGTATGAGTGCTGCTATTTTTAGCAACACTGTCCGCTTTATCAATGTGTCGAATAATTTCCTGAGATACGTTTGGCAAGTGTGTACTTTTTTCGACCAATATAACTAGATCTTCAGGAGCAGGTGAATTTATAAACACGCTGAAGAAGTCAGTATGTGCTTGACGAATTCGTTGATCATTTGCTGACTTTAGAAGTTCGTCTGCGGCTCAGTCGAAAAAGACCTGAGTATGCGGTTCTTCAGAATCACAGTCGTGGTATCACCTTCAGATTCAACATTCATCCATGGCAGTATATCAGGCATGGTATTGATTCTTTCAGATTTCTGCTTTACTCTCACGTTTCTGTCAATGAGTATTGTACTATATTCACTGTAATTGTGATCTTTTCAGTTGATCGTTGATCTGTATCACTGGTACAAATCCTTCTTATTCTTGAAGATATGCATTGAATCAGGTATTGATCATACCTTGCTGGTTCCCAATTGTTATTCACCGTAAAGAACCATCAGTTTTGTTTTTGGACAAAATATTCAAAAAGTGGCATTCAGAGATGATCTCGGATACCAGTGTGAACTTGACAGAATGGTGCCTATTACTGATCTTCTTCTTTGTAGCACTGATGTCAGCAGTTTTGACATCTTTTATGGGGATTTCATTCTTGCATCTTTGTTGCATATGAAAACATTCAATTTGTGGATCGTAAAACGCTTTATTTTCCAGTCTGCAAGCAGAGCACTCGATGACTACCGTATTGACATTCAATCCCAGTTGTTTGTACATTAAAAGTGCAATTGAGCAGCAGTTATTTCCTCCCATTTTTACCCTCACCTTCTTCACATCTATCAGGTAGACACTCAACTACCTCCAAGTATTGGTTTGTAGGGATATGGTTGATTGGTTACAGGGTCTCCTCATGAGCTGAAATTGGTTAGAGAACCTGGGGTTCCAGTGGGAAGTCGTAACCAGTAGGGTACAGCAGGTCGGGTGTGAGGACAAATACTCGCCGAAGACATTGGTTAGCGGTTGCGCTATATTATGAATTGGCAGAAGTTGGAATTCATGCGCAGGCCATTGGATCGGGTTCCAGTGGCTTAATGGTTTACGAGCTAGCTCGCCTTGTAACCAGAAGGTCCTGGGTTCGAACCCCGCGGTGTGGGTGCGTACATCTGAAGAGTCCCAAACTAGGACGAAACAGCTGTCCAGTACTCCAGGACTGGTTTACTAATGGTTCTCTAACCGATGTCAGCTCATGATGAAACCCTGTAACCACTCAACTACCTTACTTGTCATCTTAGAGCAATTTTTATCTTATAAAATTTCAAACCTTTCCTCTCATTGTAGAAACCACATTTGACCAACTATATCAATAATACATTTTACGTGCAAATAGTCTGACATGATCAAGTTTAAATTAGAAGGAAAATCAATTTATCGATTTTTCAGAACACAAGTATATGTGAACACTTAGTACTACTGTATATATAGTATAGTGAGAATCTATATTCTGAGAATTTCATACTTTATGTAAATGTATTATACATCACAATAAGCCATTATTCTTATTATTATTAATATTTTTTTTTACATATTTACTCACCATTAACTTCTCATCGTCATCTTCCGCATCATTAATTGATCCACGAGGTTGTTCACTTGCTCTTGGAGTACCCATCTGTGGTGACTATGAAATGTTTTTCTTATTGAAGTCAAAATTAGTTACCTAACTATTATATAGATATATGTATGTAATCTCTTTGTGTTTTCACCTCAAAATTGATAAATAAACAACACCCAAGTGATCAAACACAGCTTCAAATTTGTGTCAGAATTAGTCTTCAAGCAAAAACTGATGCTGGTTTGTCCAACTGACTTCGTAAAATATTTTAGACAAAAAGTCAAACACGTACACACATGTTCATGCATAAGTATGTACATGTATCTATCGTTGATTGGTTTAAACTATCCAACCAATCAGCTTTCACCGTTGAAAACTGAACAATCATATCACCATCTTTTTGTTTAATTTAATTTAATTTTGCAAATATTAAAGATATTAAAAAAATAAAATAGGTTAAATTAGGTAAGAAAAGTTTAATTATCACTTATGAAGAGAAGTCTAGAGAAATATTTTTTGTTTTGTTTTAAAATATAAACCACTAACAACAATAGTAAAGTGGAATTCATTCAAATAAGCAATTGATCACAGTTCTACTACTTTTATTGGTTTTAGAAAAAAACATGAAGTACTTTGTATGATAATTAACCATTATGAGTTGAGAGTGTACAGACACATGCACACGCACAAACACACACGAGGGATAAATGAAATTAGACACAGTTTCATATAACGAACTCATATATTTATTATATAAGTTCATTCAACTAGGTTAAAGGAACACATTGTCTCTGTTATCTTCACTTCTCACTAAGCATTTATACACACCCAATAGTGTAGAGGGTTGACGCCCAAAATTTGCAGTTATACCCTTCTTCTCTTTTCCCTCTCTCTCTCTTTCTCTCTCGAATAGAATTTACAATAATCATCATCATCGTCATCATCATGGAATTTACAGTGAGTTAACTTTGTTTCAATGCATTTCTAAAATTTAAAACGAAATCGACCTTCTCTTTTGAAAAAATTAGGAAAGTTTCAAATTAACGTGTTCTCTCACTATCTCCCCTCTTGATCCAGTTTCTTTTTTACACAATGCAATCATCTTTCTGATCAATAGGAATTAATACTTTCAATAACAACGGGGTAAATAAAGTGCAAATAGTTCATTTCTCCTCTGTTTTTTTGTTTCAAATGTTACTTACACACACACACACTATAAACAGACGTTACCATGGTAATATATCACTCTATTTAAAAAAAAAAAGAATCTCAGGAAACTTTTCGAAACAAAAAAATAAATAAATAAAATATTTAAGTTAATAACATTTTTCGAAAAAAAGTAAAAATAGAACTCAGTCAAACTAAAAGATAAATAATAATAATAATAATAATTATAATGCTAATAATGTGATAGTAATCGTGAGAAATTTTCTGTATGACCTTGTGCATATTTTTTGGCTTTCATATGGTAACCATGGTAACCGCCAGTATCGCTTAGTCAATTCGGTAGACGCACACACATAAGTATAATCAGGATCGTGGAATAGTGATATTACAGGGAGACGAGTTTATAAAAAGTAATAGGCAATGTTTTAAAAAACGATATTTATATATCACCAGTCTCCAATCGATTGCTATAGCTAATTACATGTATGCGTGTGTGTATTGACCTATGTGCGTCAGTGTATACTAGAAGGTTTTAGTAGTGATGTTTCCCTTGAAGAATAATGATTGACAAAAAGGTGGGTAAAGAATCTGAAGAAAGAGAGAGACGTATACGTCAAAGATGAGGATAAAATGTGGTATACGAATATGAGATTTCGGTGTTGAGCTAAGCCAATAAGTATTCAGTCAAAGATTCAATATGGATTGAGTCTAAGCTGATACAGGCCGTCTGTAACTAGTAGAGTCGATCAAAAATTGACAGTGAAGAATTATGGTTGACTGCACCAGAAAGGACAGGACTTGTGGTGAACATAGAGAAGATGGATGTGGTGAAGATACCAGACCAAGAAAAACTATAACAAGAATTAAGAAAGCTAGTTATCAGCCAAATCGAAGCAGTCTAGATACAGGACAGTTGTTTTAATCATTTTCAGGGCTCATTAGTACTATACCTGGCTTGACAAGGCTCAGAGAGCCGATTCAGTTCAAACCGCTGGAATTCTGTGTGTTTCTTGTCAATCACATGCCTAGCGGCTGCGATTATAAACGTTACCTTATTTTGCATATTAAGACTTTTTGGGATGTAATCACGGCATGCTACGATTTATAGAAAATTCCTGTTAGGACAAATAGGAAATTAAAACAAGTGATTCAACGAAGAGGCTGTCTCCATAGAATTTATTTTTTCAAGCTGTACACTCGTATACAAGTGATTATTTTCAACAATAACTTGAATTTCGACAAAATATTTGGGATTCAACAGCTATATGACAATGCCACGTGTCAGGTAATTCACAACAGAATACTCAGAGAGGCGTTCGAAGTGAATAAAGGAATAAGACAAGTTGGCTGCCTATTATCACCAACGGTGAAATTCTTAATTGTGGGGGACTGAATTATTTGGAAGAATATGGAGAGTGAGAAGACAGGAATACGTTGGGCCGACAAGAAGACTCTAGAATATCTGGATTTCTCGAAGACCTACGGGCGAAAACAAACAAACTGGTTGAAGAGGCGAAGCAGGCAGCGAAGACAGGACTCCAGACAGACACAAAGAAGGTCAAGATGATGAAGATAACCAACCAACAGCAAAACCAGCAACAATCACTATCAACGGGAGAGATTTGAAAGAGGTTACTTCCTTCACTTATCTGCTTAGGAAGTATCGTCTCGACCGCAGACAATCGGACAGCATGGATGAAAACGTCAAAGACTGTCTCCTCTGAACCTAAGTGAATAATATTAATAACATTTGTTATTATAGTCGTAGTTAAGCATCTAGCGACAAATTTTGTTATGTACTTTATAAAATGTTTCATGAAATGTACAGATCTTTAAAGGGGATATAGAATTATTAAGATTAGTAGACGGCTGAAATATTGCGCAACAAGGTTAGACAACATCTCGAAAACTAGATTGAATCGAGTAAATAACGGTGAGACAATACCGGGAAATGTTAAAAGTGGAAATAATAATAATTGTAACACTTGAAACAATTATTATTTGAGTAAAGCAAGAACAATAGCAGTTTTCGCAGAATAAAATGGTACCATCATTGTTTATTTCGTTGCTTTCTCATCAGCTGCTTTCAGGCCAAAATCATTATTCATTATATCTACAGAAATAATTGTAACATACTTGAACAGAGAGTTAATTTTTAAACAAAAATCAATCAATCAACATATGCATACATTAATAATACATATATAATAACAGTAATAAACACTTTATCCCGAACAGTAATGGTCATACACAATGGAAACTCTCGGCATTACGTAATCAAATGAAAGAGGGGGGTGAAAATATCCAGTTAATAGGATAGGCAAAGAAAGACTGATAACCGTTTCTTTGTGTACGCACAAATCGGGTTTCAGGCGCTTATTATTATTACTCTTTTAGGTTCCGAGTGGAAAATAGAGCTTCAACAACACATCTCCACTTTCTTCTGTTTTCTACTGTCCTCTTCATCTGGATCCACAATTACCCATAATATCTCATCTCTCCCATGTCACCCTCATACCGATGACCCACTAGTCGCTCCCCATTTAGATTCCACTCTAGCACTGGCCTGGAAGGCGATATCATTCGACGGCCTCCTCAACGTATACCTGATCAGTCTGCATTTTCTCCTACATATTCACTTATTGAACAATCAGTTCTTGGTTGGTTTGTTCTCAATTGAAGTTTTTTGCCGCTGATTCTTCCTGGCTGGCTGGCCATTTAATCATCAGTATGGAGCCAGTGAAGTGGGTAGCTGTTGATAAAAGTCCAAAACGGGCTGTTGGAAATCCTTTCCGTGACCCGCGTGCCGTGTAACTTTCTGAATCTATTTCCTAATGCCACAGAGTGCAGAAGATTTCCAAACTGATTTCAGAGTGATGAAGGTGTGCCTTTCCTTTCCGATTCTGGTGGGCTTTGACATCTCCATCCGTGCTGTCCGACAGCCTGTGGCTGAGACAATACTTCCTAGATAAATGAAGAAAGTAGCTTCTTTCCAGTCTCTCTGATCGATGCTGACTGGTGCTGTTTGTTGTTGTTGCTGTTCGTCAGTTATCGCCTTACCTAGTTTACTAACTGGCTAGTTTTCTAACCAGTCCCAAGGCTGGGTAAAGACGGAAGGTTTATCATGTAGCTCTAGCGACCCTACCTCACAAAACCAATCAAACTGCTACAAAAACTTCAACACACACAATAAACTCCCATACTAGGCACCGACATATCGTCAGGGAGTGAAATTTTCTGCCCAATAAAAGAAAAAAAATGTCAGTCAACGGGAAAATACACTGCGACTTAAAATGCTTGTCAACATGTCCACGACAAATATTCTATCTAATAATCAACATTTTGTTACTGTGTTTTTTAAATATACCTCCAAAGTTTTGTTTATTTCGATAGAATATATGTCCCTCTTTCTTTTTTACAGAAAAAAAAAACAAGGTGTGCTGTAATATTTATTTGATAAAATATTACAGAAAAACGATTCATGAAATTTTGATTACTTGGGGGGGGCATATATATATTATAGCTGCATCCCTGAAGAAGAGAAGTACTCAAGAGAAAGAAGGGCAGTAGATTAGCTGTACAGTTTGGAAAAAGTGGGATACCAGTTTTTTTCCAAAGAACGAAATTAAATTTTTCAAATGAAATAACAATTTAATAATCATAATAATGATTCTCATTCAGAGAAAATGGGAGGAGTACTTAACAGTTAGGGGTGGGTGGGAAGGGAAGTCACTTTAGTACTACTCTGTCGCCTAACTTACTGCATGTATGATAGATAGATAGATACATACATACATAGATGGGCGACTGAGTAATCTCCATCATCTGTACGCCATTTATGGGTGTTCACAGAGATATGTTTTTACACTTAGGTGTTTATTAGGTTGGGAAACATTGGTACAATTTTGGATTGGTATTTTTTACAGTTTTCATCAGTCCTTGGGGATGTTTAGTTAACCACTTTTAGACATTTAAACTTGTTGCTTTGAGCATGAAACGAGTTTGTGTGAAATCATGTTCGTCACAGCATTATATACTTCAGTTAGTCCAAAACTAGCAACAGAAACTGTGCAACAATTACTCTAT